AAAAAGGGACTGTCTGCTAATGGTTTTTTACCAGACAATTCGTCAATTACACAGTCAAAAGAAACCCTGGGGAATAAAATGACACTAAAGATGCTATTAAAATGTTCCAAGTGAAGCCATATATAATTAATTTCAAACAAGGATAAGCTATGAAAACGCAAATACTTCAAGGTGCTGAGTGAAAGGTGGGCTAAACCTACATCAGTCTTTAAAACTGATGTTTCCAGGTGAGTCTAAGTTTAGGCCAGAGACAAGGAGATAATGATGTCTGCTCCCTCCCAGTTTTATGGGACACTAAAGAGACTTAAGATGAAACATTCTGTGTGTTTCAAGGACCAGAAGAAACAAGAAGTCATCTGGCAAACCTTTGCCCAGGCTGAGTAATCACCATTAGCATCCCCAGAAACTAGTTTTCTCCTTATGCAGTTTTAACATCTCAAAGAGGGGGAGTCAGAAACTTTTTCCTGTAAAGGGCAAGACGGCTTTTAGACTTTGCAGACGATACAGTCTCCATTGCATCTGGTAACCCTGCCATGGTAGCCTGAAAGCAGACACAGACAATACAGAAACAAATGGCTATGTTTTCATAAAAATGTGGGCACAAAAAGAAATGGAGAGACAAATTTGGCCAATGGGGTATAGTTTGCCAATCCATATCATAGGATAACATTATTAGTAGACTCTACAGGGTACTCAGCATTGTAATGATAATTTTTTTCTTTCTTTCTTTTTTTTTTATTTTTACAAGACAGGGTCTTATTCTATTACCCAGGCTGGAGTGGTGCAATAGTGTGATCTTAGCTCACGCTAGAACTCTTCTTTTCAAGCAGTGCTCCTACCTCAGCCTAGCAAGTAGTTGGACTACAGGTACATGCCACCATCCCTGGATAATTTTAAATTTATTTTTGGTCAAGATGGGGTCTCACTATCTTGTCCAGTTGGTCTTAAATTCCTGGCCACAAGTGATCCTCCTACTTTGGCCCCCCAAAATGCCGGGATTATAGGGCTGAGCCCTGTGCCCACTGGTGGATGTTTAACTAAAGAAGAAACTGTTCTATTAGTAGAGCACTATATAGATAAGGGCAGAGTGTTTAAAGGTCACACCAAAGTATCAGGATTCTATAAACAAGGAGAAGATGCTCATTGGAAACTCTGAGATTGTGTAATAAAAGGGAAAGAGAAAGAGAGAATGGAACCAAGTATTTTACCAAGGGTCTGACCAAGTGTTTACAGGGGTTCTCTCAGCAGGCCTGACATTCAAAGAGAAGATGAGAGGAGTGGGGAAAGGGACTCTCTTGCCGTTTTCTCTGACTAGGACTCTGGAAGCTGCTACTGTGAGGGTGCACGAATTGGGTAATGAAATTCACCAAGTTTGCATTTAGCATCCCAAACATGTCCTTCCCCCCAAAGAAAAAAAACTAAGTCACTTTGGCACAGAATTTTATACTTTAAACCAGAATACATCACCAAGAGTGCATGTGACGCCCCTATGAGCCTGGTACATGTGTTACCCCAGAGGCCTCCAGGTCAGCCAAGAAACACGGGCATGCATCTACACTGTATAAATTAAAAGCTTTATTTCCCTCCAGTTAGCAAATGGAATTCATATTAGTTCAACTTCAAGTTTTCTTCCTAGAGTCGCCTTTCTTATTTACTGTGCTACTGGTGGGGGCGATGGCTTTCTCCTGGGGAGAAAGGGCGAGATTTCACAGAGACACGTGGGGTGAATCATAGAAACAACAAGGTTTTCCCTGGAGCCTCCTGTCAACAAGGTCAAGGAATCCTTTCAGCTGAAGGCCTAGTCCGGTGGGGCCTAATCTCCAGGGTCTGCAGAACTGGCCAAATGGAGCCTCCTTCGACCAGGAAGTCTGGAAGTTGGACCATCTTCTCAGTTCTTGACAAATTCTTGTCCTCAGTCCCGCGGCCTCACACAGGAGCATTTTATCAAAGCAAACCACAGTCTTCTGCCCTGGGGTCTGATACATACTCTTCACCACATGTGAGGTTGGTCTTCACGCCAAAGTTCACTGTGCACAGTGGTTTTGGTTTGTGTTTTAGAGGGCTGGTCTCTGCCCCTCCAAGAAATGGTGGCATCATAGAAATGGAAGCACAAAGACCCAGATAAGCACTGGTACACAGGGCACAGGGACACTGCTGCCAGATGTTCTCTGAGCGTGCATTACAGCAAAGACTGCGTTTGTGTGATTGGTGGGTAATTCTACATTGCAGATCATTCCTTCACAGCAAGACCTACATTCCTGTTACAAAAGGAAAAGAAGAGAAGGACAGTGAATAATAGGAAGAAGAGAGAAGAGGTATATCAAAGAAAACCAGAAGAAAGGCTTCTTAGCTTTGTCTGAAAGCAGACAATTAGAATTGGCTCTCCAGAATCAAGTCACCAGGCCCTCAGGTACCTTTTCCCTGACAATGGACCAGCAGAGAAAAACTATATTGAGATTCTTTTCATCCTAACCGTGATTTATCTGCATCAAACTCAAGCATTAGCAAGGCAAAGAAGAGGAAAGGCAACTGAATAAGATGGCTTGATTAAGTCAGCAAATCTTCTAAAGGTTCGTAAAGGAAAACACTGAGATGAAAATGAAAGCTACAGAACTTTTGGATTAGTCATTGATTTTCTTTCTCAGTACTACTTATTAAGGGATAATAATGGCTCTCTATTGTCTATGCTAACACCTGATTCCTATCATTACAGGAGCAATGGTTTGATAATTATGGCTGCTGAATGTTGAAAAAGGCTTGGTCCCAACAGGTGTTTTCGGAGGCTGTTTTGTGGACTTGTGCCTGGTGCAATGCCTCCACCAATCAACCCAGCCCTTCAGAGGGGCTTCCAGGATGGTAGGTCCTATAAAGGCATCAGCTCTAAGCATCTGTATCAGTGGTTCTCAACCCTGACTACACATCAGAATCTTGGGGGAGCTTTCTAAAAAGATCTTGATGCCCAGGACCCCTACCTGAGGTTCTGTTTCCTTTGGTCCAGCATGCCCCTACCACCATGAGCACAGCTTGTCAAAGCTGCCCCGGTGACTGTCATGTAGCCAGGATATCAGGACCATTTTCTATACTTATGGGCTAAATCCAATTCTAAAACTCATGCAATGAACATACTTTCCAGCATTTTTTTCTCAAACATTTCAGGATTCCAGGCATATAAAAGAGCAAAATAGTCAGAATGACAGAGTGGGAAAGGTAAAGAGATCAAGTGGTCTAAAATGTATTTATAATTCATTGTATTGAACTGGGGCTAATCCTTTAGACTGCCAGTCCCTCACTAAGCAAAGGCAGTGGGAGAGACGAGGTTCCCTTAGTAGGAGGTGTCACCATTTTCCTCTGGGCACCGTCAGTTTCCCCGTGCAGTGTTCATGGGGATGGACTCTGGAGTATTTGTCTTCCTCTCACAGACAGTTTGCTCCTGAGTCACCCAAGCTTCACACCACTCACCCCGAGGCCCAGGGCCTAGCTCTTGAGTCAGACCATTGTCACTCAAAATGAGTGACATTTCTTGTTGAAGGACAGAAAACTATTCAACTTCCTTTGGTCTCTGTTTTCTCACTGTAGTAGAGTCTGTCCTCAGAATATAAATGTGTTCATCATGTCATCCTTACTGCTCTCTCATGAAGTGTAACTTACCAATACAAGCACGAGTCTCAGACAGTAACTTACACATCGACGTGGCCCTTACCGTCTGTTCAGAATCTCGGCTGTGGTGGCAACCGACAAAATGACATTCACTTCTGGAGGCACACTTTTTGGTGATGGATGTACTTCTTCCGTGGCTGGTGAAGTGATGAACTGTCAAACAGTATTGTGTATCTAGGCAAGAAAAACACCAAAAACAAACAAACAAAAACCAGGCGACTTCATTTTTCACATGGCAAAAGAGATCTCTTAACCATCACCTCAGAAATATCTAAAATTCAGAATAATCCTTAAGTTTCTGCAAGAAATTTAGGAGTGGTGAACTCCAGAGCTTCCAAGTGGTATTTCTGAAAAGATATCAGTTTCTGAAGCCCATGTGCCTTTTGAAAATGAGAGTAAACGGGCATCTGTCCTCCGTGTCAGGAAAAGCTGAGGGAAAAATGTGCGAGCTTTTTATCAAAACCAGGGCTCTGCTGGTTTGATGGGGAAGAGTTTGCATCTCTGGCCTTCTTTCTCTCCCCATCTGAAGCACCTGTTCTGAAACTCTAAAACAACATGAAAACTGTGAACATAAAATGCAATGGGTCTGAGTATCTGTTTCATTATTCAACATTTTTCTCTTATATAGTAATGGGCCATGGGGTGAACTGGAGTGAAAAGCAGATGCTTCAAACTCCTTATCAAGATCCCCTTCTTACTCATCGGGTTTTCCTTGTTGTTCTGGCCCTGCCCACATGTCAGACTCTTCCTCATCGACATCTTTCCATTTCCCGCTCCTCTCCGATGCTCACTTCCTCTGCCTCCTGCCTGCCTCCTGCTCCGTCTGGCTACAGGGCCTCTTTTCTACACAGTTATCCATGTGGTTTCTAACCACTGACATTTTATTGCTTCAGCTTCTCAAGAAGAAGTTTCCCTCTCTATCCGAGGACATTCTGCTTTGGTTCTGTATCTCATCTATCGGTCCTCAGGCCAGTGAAATGCCTCCTAGTTGACTGACCAGGGACTACGGCAGCAATGTCACCAATGGGGAAAAACCACACTGACCCTGAGAAGATGGGGCTTAGGGGAATGCCTCTGTCACAGTGAGCAAGTCACGTTAGATCTCTCAAGTTGGATTTCTACTTAGTAAAATGATGATAGACCATGTCCTGACTTGGTGATAGGGTGGCTATTATAAGCCTTCAAAAGTGTTAACACCCCCATACATGACAGCAAGGAAAGCAATCATTGTTACTCATTTCTTCTGTTTTCTTTATTAGACTTTAAAAAATTAAAGCAAATATGAGTATGTTTCGTATTTATGCCTTTTATAAAAAATAATGGCTGCTAAAAATAAACAAATAATGTTAACAACAGCAAGCAAATAACTGAATCTGCACCACCAGCCAGGGAGGTGCTTCTAACTGGTGCTCACTCACTCAGTCCTCACCAGAATCCTTAAGGCAAGTCTTGGTAACATCTCATGTTACAGATAAAGAAACTGAGGCCCACTGGGTGGTAGGATTCTAACCCAAGTTTGCTAGAGTTTGTCCTCTTCACCAGAACACTATTCTAACCCTGGGTCTCCTTAGCATTAAACTAGACGGGGCCGTAGTTATGGATTCAGAAAGAAAGGGAGCCACTAAGTGTTGTGGCGAAGGCACTTGACTTCTACCCCTAACAAAGAAGAACTGAAAACTGGCAGTGGCACACGTTCATATAGAATGTCACACAGGCAAAGCAACCCTAAAAAGTCAGTCAGATAACAGCCAGGGTAAATAAAATAAGAAATGTCATTCTTGCCATCTCCTGTCACACGGAGAAGCTCTCTTCACAACACTAACAGGCCACAGAAGTGAAGCCACGAAGTGCAAAGGGAACCTCCGATGACAAAGAGCCATAGCTGCAGCCTGTTGCCGCAGGAAATCGTCAACTGTCACTCTCTGAAATGATGACAAAACGGAGAGTGAAAAATTACCCCCTCAGTTAGAGTTCCAGGTAGTTAGTATCTTGGGACCTGGCTGGCAAGAACATCCTGCCAGGCTGTGCTGGGATGCAGAGACATTCCAGGTTAATCTCATGGCAAGGCAGCTTCTCCAGTGGGCGTGGCAGGGCTGACCCCTCTGCCCTTCCCATGTCTGATGTTTTCTTGGTGGTAGAAAGCTTCAGCTTACCCTTTTCGTTCACCCACGTTTCAAAAGAGACATTCTAAAACCCAGAAATAGCCATGCAACTTATTGTATGCGTGTTAAAATGGCCTTGGTTAACAGGTGGCAAATTGGAGCATTATGCATAGACCCAGTACAAACAGTGTTTTGGTACAATCAAAACAATAGCACAGTCTGTGAAGACCGAAGGTTGGACATCAAAGCCCCAGATTACTACTGTTTCTAATCCTCACCACCCAGTTTTCAGGGAAATTTAAAGTGAATTGTTAAAGAATGATACTCAACCCTCTGAAATAAGTTAAGAGAAGTTTCGACCAACCTTAAAAACTTGGAAATAACTAAGATAACTTTCTGTGGAAAACATAGGAACAAATACTCATAAGCACACACATGATTTAAGGATGGTCACTCTACAGAAATGTAAAAGAACCTAAGAGAAGTATTTTGGTAAATAATTCGTCTCAAAAAGAAATAAAAAGTATTGTCCTTATAGATGGCAAAGCCATTTGTGTTAATTTACAGCATAATATTCTCAAACGCAATGGACATTTCCATGTGGAGTATTTATTGGGTCCACACATTGGCGTTATCTGAGAGAGGTAAGGTTATGCTACTGGTATAAATATCATGGTCTAGAAATTTCCAAAAGACTCAAGGTAGTGCCTAATTCTGTAAAAGTCTGTTTATTATGGCCTTTTATATCTAAAAAACTTTTAAAAAGTACACCAGAACAGTCTGATCTCCCTTACCGGTAGAGTTTTAACATTCCACATCATCCATCAGCACTTCCAGCCCTGCCCGTCCCTACTTGGTGTTCCCTTCTACTCGTGTCCCAGCTATCCGTTCTCCATATGGCAGCCAGGGCAGTATTCTAGAACACAACTATAATAACATCATGTAATCCCTCCCTGAAAACTCCCTACTGCCTTCCCATCACATTCACAATGAAATCCAATCTCCTCATTAGAAAAAGGAGACCCTGCACATCCTGGTCCTGGCCTGCCTCTCAGATTCTTTCTCCATCTCCCGCTAAGTCTCAGCAGCCAGGCTTCGTCCTGATCATTGAAGGGGCCAAACCTACTCTTGCCCCTTGAAACCTTTGCATTTGCTGTTCCTTCCCCCTGCCATGCTCTTCCTACATATCTCCACATGGCTGGCTTGTTTGGAGTATTTAGCTGTTGTTCTAATATATATTCCACAGAGATTTCTCTGACTGCCTAAATCAAGGGCACTGATTCATTCTGTCAACAAATATGTGTTGGTTGAGTGCCTATTAGGAACTGGGCACTGGATTGGGCACTAAAGATATATTAGGCAGCTGAACACACTAAAAATATACTCAGATGTTATTTAACATTTAGCAATATCTAACCTGTAGCTTGCTTGTGATTTCTGTTAAATGAATGAATGAGCTTCCCAAGCATCAAGGAATCTTAAGAGTATAAAAACCCTTCCTTCGCTTTAATCCTCAGTAAGCATGACTTTTCTAGAAGCATTATTAAGCATGTCTAAAATTGTGAAAATTCTTTAATCCACATTGTGGTCTGTTCTTCCTGGTAGATACCATTTAAGAAATGCACTACAAATTGAGGCTTTGGCATCAGTTTCCAAGTTCTTTCGATATAACTAGTGTGATGTCTGGATAGTTTTTCAGAAAAACAAACAAATAAGCCAACACAACCCTCTGCCTCCCAAAGAACATCACCAGCCTGTTGGTCTACTAACCCATGACATAAGACAGCTCTGCTGTAGGCAAGTCAGGAGATACCTAAATGAAGTGAGGTCCCGGAAGAGTCTCCCGAACACAGCAGACTTACTTTGCGGACACCACTTGTCTTCTGCCCATCGATTGCAATCGTAATTATCCCCTGCATTTTCACAGGTGAAGCACTTGAAGCTGTTTGGAAATGGTGTAGCTAAAAAAAAAAAATTAAAGTGAAAAAGCAAGCTACAAAAATGTATGCAAAGTTTCAAATATTTCACACCTCAAATATGGCACAAAATTAGCAACTTTCATTAGAAGAAACAAAATGGACAAGTCATCATCCTTAGCATTTCTGTCTCTAGGGAGCTGGATTTAGCCACCAGGTTTTCAGGCATTTTCTTTATTCCCTTTTATGTAAACATTTCATCCATGAATTTCCACTATAGAGTAATGAAAGGGATCCCACAAGCCACTCTGAAAGATCCATGGTTTTGTTCTATTGTCATCAATAATTTGGGAATAAGTGGGGCTTGAGGGCATGGACACAGGTGGAAGTAGTACTGGGACCCATAATTTGATCCATGTGTCATCCCTGAGAAGAAGCAGAGTCAGATTAACCTGAGTTTGGATTCTGTCCTTCCTACTAA